AGTTATCCGAGAATTCGGATAATCAAAATTAAAACTGACTCAAGAAGCGAAAATCACCCCCGAGGAAGCGTTTTAGTAGAGTTCATTTACATGATTAGACTCTTTTATCGCAGGTTAAAATTGCTGGGAATTTTTACAGTAGCGATTGCAGGATTGAATGCCTTTTTATGGAACATTTGATCACTCTCCATCAAATTTCCTAATATCGTTGATCTTCTGGGTCTAATAAAATTTAATAAAATTAGTAGGTAGGACAAATAACATTTTTGAATTGCGATTCATCCTGGGGTAATATCATACATGGGCCAATTACATGTAATCTAATTACATGTAATCCAATTACGTAATTGGATTACAAAAAATGTAATCGGTAATGTAATTGGAGCATCTTCTAAAATTGTAATTGGTAATCGGTAATTTGTAATTGATGTTTTCAGATAAAAGTAATTGGATTACTCCAGATTACCAATTACATTGTAAACGTATATACATCGCCAAACAAAGGGATAAAGAAGAAACAAACCCCGCTTTCTTTCAATTTTGCATACAGTTTTCTTTCATATTTCTCAATATTATTTGTTGAAAAATTTTGTCAATTTTATTAAGGGGTTAACCGAAGCGAAATCCCTTTATGGAAATGTCTGTTCGTCTGTCCGTATCCATGATAACTTTAGAACGAATTTCGAATTTCGACATATGCTTTTCGCCAACGTGTTTCAAATTTTTTAGAAATGATGAGTTCGAAGATGGGCGTTGCAGGTCATAAGGTACGCGCCACGGCCATGAATCCAACGGTCAAACGTGTCGAATTGTTTGTTTCTACCGTTGTAGACCGTTGTAGTTTTGGGCGAGGATTTCAGAAATCCACATGGTTTTGCCGGGTCATGACCATGTAGAAGACGCTAAAGTCAAACATGTCGAATTTTCTGTCTTAACGGTTTTAGACGTAGTTTAGAGCGTGTGTTGATTTCAAAAATCAACATAGTTTTGACATAGCATGACCGCGTGACCGTGTAGATCCACCCATTTGCTACATTTCGATTGCAAAGGCTTATTTTTCAATCTAGAAGCTTGACACAAAGAAATCCGAAAACCAATCTGCTTTAGAGAGAAACTGTATAAATGATGATCTACTCAAAAATAATTTATACCTTTTCGTCAACATTGATTCTCTTTTATAAATCATCAAAAGTTATTGGTAATGCTAAATAGAAAACTTAATTTTTAATCAACCCTGTGATTCCAGCTCGACTACAGGGATATTTTGTAAGTAAAGTAATCTGTAATTTGAAATGTAATCCAATTACTGTAATCGTAATTTGTAATTGAGGCAGTTCGATGTAATTTAATTGGAAAAGTAATCCAATTACCGGGTTTTGAGTAATCGGTAATTGGTAATCCAATTACATGAATCAATGTAATTGGCCCATCTATGTAAATAGGTCAGTTTTAATCACTGACTGGTAAACAGAGCCGGTCGCCGACAGTATTCACTACTCACGCCGCCCCTGTCGATTTTATAACGGCATGGAGCTCATGGTTTGAAACGAGAGGTTTGTACATTCCACCGACCACTCTGGCTGATTTTCATCCCATAAAGATTGAGTTGTTTGTATTAATTCAATTTTAAATAGTACTACTTGTGAGATGAAAATATTTACAAAGTTATCCTCCAAGTTCTAACTGTCACTAGCAAAATGGGTTAGGTTTATCATTCTGATAGAAAACTAAAGCTTCAAAAATACTGAATTTTGAGTCTGATTGTAGGCAAAATTATTCTTCAAACCAGACAAGCACTGAATACTTGATGTATTTGGTTTGAAATTTTTTTAAGACTCCGTTAGGTTAGTTGCGAGTCGATCGAATTTTCAAAACCGATCAAATGATTCATGTAAAAGTAGTACCATGTGATAAAATTTCATCGTTTGCATGAAGAAACTGGTCCTCCAATAGGTGTGGGGTTCATTTACATACGTTAAGTTAAGATTGCGTTTAATGTATTAATCCAATTTTAAGAAGGTTTACTTCGTTAAGAAAATAATATGATTTCTTCCGATTCCCATGAAGCTTTTCCAAAAATCTCAGTTTTCAAAATTTTGCAAACTTTCCTAATTTCTGAAACGTAGGGGTTGGCCGAAAAGTTTTTCAATAATAAAATTTTGTTCATCTTTTATTTTTTTCTTAAAATCTCGAATTTTGTGATCATTTTAAGCCCAAGCTTTTGAAAATCCCTTGGAAGGTGCAAAAGTTATGGAGATTTGAAATTGGTAGAAAATCAAAATTTTTAAGTTTTGTGCCACGCCACGGCGCAGAATATGAGTTTTACACGGAAATATGAATGAATCCTTCATCTAGGATCCTAGTAGATTCTAAAAAACATAGTGGGTACCCCGAACTCGGGGTGCAGTCGGGAACTTTCCCTTGTAAACAGGGTATGCTACCCCGGGTTTTTGGGGTATTGGGGTTTTGCGGGTATTGGTGGGTTTTGGGGTATCAAAAATGAGCAATACCCACGGGTAATCGGGGTAGTCGGGGTTTTCGAATTTAATAAAGTGTGATAACAGGGCACTGCTATCAATTCTACCAATTAATTATTTATTAAAATAAATTAACAAGCAGAATCGTTGCGCAATTGCTGAAAAAGTAGATTTTTGTCAAACCTTAATACATGAGACACTGACTCAGTTTACCCCAAAAAACCCCGACTACCCCGACTACCCCGACTACCCGCAAAACCCAAGTAAAACCCCTGGGTATGGGTTTTCAATAGCAAAACCCCGGGGTTTTCCTTACCCTGCTTGTAAATTCAAAATCCTGTGCAAAATAAATACTATACTTATGGAACATGTACATGTCCGCTGAGTTGGGTTTGGCATATTTTTTTTATTAATGTATACCGACCAATAAATTCGCATAAATATACAAATAATTCCAAACAGTATGCAAAAAACTTGATATTTTGCTGCCCAGTTTCAAGTTTCGGAAGGTTAAGTTTGCCTATAGATGGATTAGTATAACTTTTCCCAATTCCATTTTTCAGAGAGAAACAAAGATTCAGGCTGATTCTCAGAGGTGTCACTACCCGCTCGCAGAAGGAGCGTATGAGAATCACCAATCTTTGTCTCTCTCTGACAAACATTCCATGGTAATGAAAATTGCATGAAAATGCACTTGTATTGCATGAAGTTATAAAATCGCTCCAAATTTAAAACTTAAGCTTATTTGAAATTGTTTGGATATTACATATTACATTAAATGAAATGCTGGTTGATAAGATAATGTTCATTATAAATTCAGATAAGCTTAACTTTTAAATTTGGAGCGATTTGGATAAACTTAATTTGCTTATCTAAAAAATTGATAACTACACTGATAAGCCCTGGAGCGCTAATTTTCGAGTGGATAGCGTCATTATAAATTCAGATAAGCTTAAGTTTTAAATTTGGAGCGATTTGGATAAACTTAGTTTGCTTATCTGAAAAATTGATAACTACACTGATAAGCCCCGGAGCGCTAATTTTCGAGTGGATAGCGTCATTATAAATTCAGATAAGCTTAAGTTTTAAATTTGGAGCGATTTTAAAACTTCATGCAATACAAGTGCATTTTCATGCAATTCTGCATGCCTGAAATGCATGATTCATAAGCGTCATATATATTCATAAGTTTGTTACGGCCTTTGCCATACAAGATGGCCCCCACGGAAACTTTGACCTCAAAAAAGTCATGGTTCCCGTCATTTCCCTTCGGACAACAAAAGCTGTGAATATAGCTCTTTTGACGTAGACAAATCTGGCATCAGGTTGTCAGAAGTGAAATGAGGGGAACCATTAGTTTTTTAACGATTTATGTGTATGTAAAAAAACCGCGAATATTCGAATTTTGAAATTTTTGATGCATAAAAATGTTCTTATTCAGGGGGGAATTCGAATGTCAAATGCAAGTTGGGGCCTAATTCTTGTTGTACCGAGTGTATACTAGCTTTCTCATTTTTCCCAGTTTCTTGTCTCAATTTTTAAAGGGGGTGTGGTTGCATGCAGTTCTTAAATTCCTATGCTATGTGAACACTTCCACCGAAAATTAAATTTGTAATAATTTTTATGGAAATCGTTGAGATCGATGCGAAAAAGATTTTTACGTATCTCTCATTTTCCATCTATATCCAAGTAAATTTTGATCAAAAATATACGTACGCTATGGACCGGAGTATAAATGAAAAATTTACGATACGGTGAACCCCTAAACTATATAGAAACAGAAGCGCATAGCTAAATAAAAAACGGTTATGACGGCATTGTGATCATTGCCCTCTCAAGAATAATACCAGCGTCATAAAGTAGAAATTTTTCTTTTACAAAATACTCTTCTCCAAGGTACCAAGTAAGCCACGTGCTTGACGCATGGCCCCCTCAAGTCGCAAAGTTTAACTTTGTCTCTCGACTTCAATCCAATGAAGTTTCATCTCAAATGCATAGGAAATTAGGATCTGAATTTTCGCCAGTTAAGACCAAAATGCATATCTATGTTGTTTACTAATTAGCAAAGTTGTTCATTTCATGCATTTCTTCCACTAGGTCAACCCTGTTACGAGAACCGGTTAAAAGAAGTATGTATGACACGAGGAGGATATCAATCGCTTCATATATATCTTTGTACCAGTGTTTCACCCCTTAAAAAAACCTGCACTAAACTATTGCACAAAAAGGATTAATAAAACCAATCAAAAATATGGATAAGTACATGAAAATGCACGAAAAAATTATGTACAGACAATATAGCAAAATTCTAGTTTTCTAAACCGGAAGATTAATATACTACATGAAACTAGTACTAAACTATTTCCAGTTTCTATGTACCAACCCTGCCTTCAGTTTTAAGCCGAAGTGCATACAAAATAAAAAATGTAACCAGTTTTTAACTTGTACAAATTCCTCTCAATATCCTTTTCCCTTATTTATCTCCTGTTCTCAATCTGACCCCAGTTTCACAAGTATCTCACCTTGTCAGCAATGAAGTCTTTCCTGCTCCGCTCTCATAGTGAACTATCCTTCTTCAAAGTGGGAATATAGAATAATGGGAATTTTAAGCACTTCCGATGGGGGCGGATTAGTTAGCAGTCTTGCCGGTGGGTTATACCCGGGTAACAGCGGTCTCTGCGTGTTCACTTGTGCCGCCATCCTCTCCGCGGCGGGGGCTGTGGCGTCCCTCATGGACTTGGATATCGGGTCGGAAAGCGCCTTCTTCGCCACGACGGGATTGGGAGCGCTGTGTTTTGCGGATTGTCAGTATTTAAGGCTGGTGCAGGAAAGGGGCGGAATTCATGGCAAGGCTGCGTTTGGGAATCGAGATGGTGAGTTAAAAAAATGAGTTAGAATTTGTGCCACACTCTTAGAAATAAATCATTACCGAACGGAGTACATATGTGACTCTACCGGCATCTGTAATAACGGGAATTACCGTTCAGTAATGTTGCGGAAATGAAAGATTTACCACTCAGGGACAAATTACGACCAATCCGGTAGGAAGTTATTACCAAGTCAATACCAGCACGCAGTATCTATGTGACTCTACCAGATTTTTAACAGTGTAGCATTTAATTACACACATACGTCGGCGACGTTATTTTTTGTTCACCAGATTTTTAACAGTGCAGTGGCCAAAATCTAGCCCAAAATAAATTTTTCTACACTCTTAATAATCCGGTAAAATCAGGCAGGTAATTAAAAAAATCAAAATCATCCTATTAACGTCAATGGATATCAGAATATAAATCTGGTTTGGAAACCCTGACGGTTCCTTCGCACCATAAAACTCTGATGGTGATGAGTCGGATCTTCTGCACAGAGAACGGACTCTGTGAGGTGTGAGATTATTTCCTTGTAATTAATTTGGTAATAATATTTTATCGGGTAGTAATAATTCGTAACCATGATGGTAAAACTTTATTACCAAGCCATTACCACACGGTACTGATCATTACTACTTTGGTAGTCATATACTTGTGCTTTTCGGTAGTGTTTATTACCAGATTATTTAAGGGGTAAGTACACAAATTTAGTGCTTGAACTTTTTTTAGAGCCTCTCCCAGCCGTCGGATGGACACCAGGAGACGCCAGCGGGGGAGGTCGGCGTAGAAGAAAAACACTCCCTGCGCAGGCGCACCACCCGCAGGACGAAGATGTATTGGCGCGCCACTCCCTCAAGAATAAGCGGGAATCCAGTTCGTAAATTTAGTATTCCTGAAACCACAGCTTGAAAAAGAGTTTCTAAAAAAACCTGTTCTGAATATTGTCATGTGTATTCTGCAAAAGATGTGTGACAATTTCTGACCATATTTATTTATTTCAAGACTAGTTCAACTAACTAACAATGTGATCACGCCAGTGCAGTGGTCTTGCTCCGAGTTTAACGAAATAACTTAAATTATGTATGTAACCTTTCATAAATAATTTAACACGAGTTTCACGATTTTTCATAATCATCCATTTAAACGAAATTATGATGGAAATCGTAATCTAGAATTTTTAGTTTGTCCCTCGCGAGAAAAATTTCACACTAAAAATACAAATCTTGTTTAACGGATTCCATCATAATTTTTATTAAAAATGAATTTATTAAAACTGAATAAAAGTTTAAACTGTGCACTATGGTAATTCCTGAAACGAGATTAATTATTTGTCAAAGAATACAGTTGGAGTACATGTCTTACATATTCTAAATCATTGTTCCACTCCAATGTTTTTGGTGCTTTTATGTATTAAAATAAATCATATTTTCGTCATTGTCAGGAACGATTGGAACTATGGCTTGGATTTTCACCGTTAAATGCCGTTTTTCGCCACTTGGGAGCATTTTTGGCCGTTTGAGAGCCTAGTTCGCCGCAAGGCGACAGGGAGATTTGCGCTACACATACGGAATATTTTTGCCCAAAACGCATACTTTGAGAATTTTTTTTATTAATTATTTAAGAGTCTTGCCCGTGTATGTTGACTCGTATTTTATTTCAATGTTTGATAATACACATTATAAATGTACACACATTGTACATCGGAAAAGCTGACTACAAAGGAGCCTTTGAGAATTTAAAATAATAATGTTAAGTTTATGAAAGAAGTTTAATTTAAAATCAGAAAACCAGTTGCTATCCTAAATTTGTGACATACATATACGACTTGAATACAGGCAAAATATTTTGGGAGTTGTGCAAACCAGTGTCAGAAATTTACCTTACATTAAATCATTCCATGACCAAGATATAAACTAAAAACTTGTTTTGACCCTCTTAACTACTTTCTTCCAACAAATACTTATCGTCAGTGTGTTCATCGCAATTGGGAGCAACAGTCTGATGGAGTTTCACGTCCCAGTCAAAACGGGTAAATTCCCGAAATTTCGAATCATTAAAGTTGCCACGGTAAGCAGAAAAAAGTTAAGAATTTCACATTTAAATTTATTTATACAAGGTGGTTTAAACGTTAAGCTACATTTTACAAAGTAAAAATTACTTAAAATCTCCACATATTTGTTACGAGATTTAGGACTCAAATTTCTATTAATTATTATGAAAACTGATGGCAAAATTCTTCAAATGTTGAATTTGAGAGACTAAATTTCTGTAATTAATGGAAATTTAGGATTCCTTCCAATTGACAAATTTTCTATTGTAGCGTGACATTTTAACCACCCTTTATTCACGTTCTATGATAGTTTGGTTCCTATACATTTTTTTAATATAGAATTATTTTACAAAATATACATAAAATATACATCTAACATTTTTGGAATACATTTTTGGAATATAGAATTACTTAAAAAAAATATACACTCTAAATAAAGTTGTGCTAAATTTGTCAAAGGTTGAGTGAAATAGAGGATGACACAACATTTGAGTAAAATTTGTTCAACCATTGGATAAGTTTTGCACAACAGGTAGTAAAATTTTGCACAAGTTTATATTTAAAACAATATTTTACAGTGTAAACATTTTTGGAATACATTTTTGGAATACATTTTTGGAATACATTTTTGGAACAAATTTTCGAAATACATTTTTGGAACACATTTTGGGAATATAGAATCACTTAAAAAATATACATCAAATATTACCTTATACTTAATTACTAATATGTGGCAGAATCATGCCACATATTAGAAGGGGTAAATGTAGAATAAAAGAGGACATCTAATGTCCATATGACATATACCCTCCGTCCCCACGTGGCTTCCGCGGCCACTGGCAATCGCAAACTGCAATGTTAATGCCGCCACTTTTTCCGACTGGTTTGGGTGGCTAGAAGTGGAAGGAAAACAGCGAGGTTTTTCTACCCCGGGGTTGCACCTGGTTTTTCCGGGTAGTCGGGGTTTTCGGGGTAACTTGAGTCAGTACCTCATGTATTATGTTACGAATACAACTGATTTCTTCAACAAAGCGGTTTATTCAATTCAATCTTGATATCTAATTGATGAATAAAATTCTCAGTAATCTCCTGTTCCAATATATTATGCACTTTGAAAACCCCGACTACCCGTACGTTATTGCTCAAATTTCTGCACTAAAACCCAAAATGACCCAAAAATCTGGGGCAGCATACTCTAGCGACTAAAAAACAGTCCCACCTTTTTTTCCTACTTTACAGATCATCTTAATCACCTTCATCGTGTCTCAGGCCGTGTCTTCTTTTCCCCTGGAAACCGCTCCTTCCTCTGACACGATGCTCGCATCGAAGACAAACCTGGTAAATTGAAATTATCCGGTATTACTAGCCATAAACGACTCTACCGCCATGATAATAAATTTTTATCGTCCTCGTACTGTATGAATTTGCTGCTGAGCAATAACTCTAATCGCGGCGCCAGCGATAAGCGTGATTTTAAAACATTGCAGGTTTTACCAGTCAATTGTCAAACCTACCATGGCGGCGTATCTCACATGAAAATTTCTACTCCGGCTGGAAACACTTTATTACCTGATTAATTAATTTGCAAGTAATTAATCTCCTTATAATTTCCAGGATAACGAGCAACTTCTAGCTTCACAATTCCTCCCAAGAGCTGGCCCCACCAATGGAAACCTTGTCGCTGGAAGGGGTCGGAAATCTCGCCAGATGCCTTTTATCATTTATGGCGGATGGTAAGCCTGCACACTATGGTTTGTGCATTTCAATTAAACCTTTTTTGCCTGTGTGTATTCTTTCCCTTTATACAAAAAATGTCAATATAATTACAAAATTCTAACCGTACTACTTCTACAACCTTTACCCGAGAGACTAAACTTTGCCCAAACAGACTTGTTTTACCCACCAATCCTAATTAATGTGTCGACCTTACTACAGTTCTCCTTACACTGGATTTGGGCCAGGCGGCGGTTTTCCGCAGTACGGCGGCGGGAACTTTGGAGGAGTCCAGTTCTAGGACTTCTAGGATAAGTTGGTCAGGGTGGCAGTAGAGATTTCATTTATAGGCCGTACTTGAAATAGAGACCTTACGGTATTCTCAAACTTTGTTACAAAAATAGGGATTTTTCTTTCAGTCATAGACTGACGTTGACATTTAATTTATGTAATAAGCAAATTTATTTTTTTCAATAAATTATACTCTATTTATATAGAATATTTAATTGCATAAATCGTCACACAATTCTCTACTAATAACCATAAAAGTTACATCTAGTCCATTATTATTAGTCCCAAAAAAATTTGAAAGGTTACCTGGTATGTAAAATAAATTTTTGTAAACGTACATTTATACATCATCCTCGTTTTTTTAAAATTTTGCAACAGTTTCGGTATCGCTTGCCATTGACGAAATTAGGTAAGAATTTGCACAAAAAGATTGAAATATCGTCCAAAGTCGGGCAATAAGTAATTAATTGCGGAGATCTTGTATACACGTACAAAGCTTACGTAATACTAAAGTATCAACTTGGTACGTCATTAGCTTATAAATTGTCCCGATACGACGATATTAGTCACCGATAAGGTAACTTGTGATTCACAACCTCGTTCGAGAGTCTGATGATTACCCCGTCACTCGTGGCAGGATGTGACACATTTAGCAGTTATGTAATACATGTGCGACATTTAATATATTCATCATCCAATCTCGTATCGAAGCCTGCCGCGAAAAGGATGTGCATCAATTGGTGAACAAAAATTAAGCACTTATGACCCAGCCGAAGTGCAAGGACGGGTGTCACCGGCATCAAGAATTGCTCTGGGAGAAGCTGCCTGCCCTACCAGTAGTCTAGTTTACTAGATAACTAACTAGCATTATTAAATAGACCTCTAATCGGAGTTATTGACTATATACGTACATAACACGAATAAAATTAAATCTAACTAACTTAATATCTCATGGGACGGCATGATATCCCATGGGACTTCATGTCGACGGCCCCACGGTTATTTCGTGTGTGTGGTGTGTTTAGTTACCTATCTCTACAGTCTCCGCGACGTTTTCTCCTTTTTCGTTTTTCTTATCGTATTTTACACCGACCTGGACACTTTCCTTCTACAAACGGCTCAGAATTATGGCTAACAAAATGAACCTAGCATCAGCAAGATAATAATTGTATCATGAAATTATTAATCCGGTTGCGGTGGCATGCATTTCTTTCTTATCAACATTCAAAACCGACTCCAGAAGCGGTTGAGTGTTCACATAAGGCTTAGTGGCGGTGTCAGTTAGCTGGGTCACAAATCCAGGGTCCTTTTCAGTTTGGACGTCAGCCCGAGTTTCATATCCTTGGAACGGTTGGAATGTGTGTGGGATTGCAGACTTCGATTGACAAAAGGTTTTGACAGTCCATTGAGGGTGTCTCCAGTTACTGTAAAATGAAAAAATATAAAATTGAATGTAATAACAAAATATTAAACATTTATAATACTTATTTTATACTTAGTTATTATATTTATTTATTATACTTGTTTATTATACTTATTTTATTATGCGACACAAAGAAGCTGTGCCAACTCGAAAAATTACATCCTAAAGTCACCGGAATTTCGGAGGGCATACACTATAAACTGTGCACAACTACTGTATCTCCCTACCATTCAACCAATGTTCACCAACCTTGACCTACAATATTTTGTCAAATTCCAACCATCGCACAAACTGCCTCAAGAAACGTTGGTTGTACTGACTTGGAGCACGTAATTTCATAATTTCAACCAATTCGGAGGGTTACACCTCACACCATCGCATTGTAAGTACTAACTGAAGCACGTTAGTATGTAAGTTAGTATATAATGAAACTTCATGCTCGTTATGCTCTGGGGCTGCATGGACTTCAAGGGCCTCGGAACTTATGAAGTAATCAATGGAATTATGAGCAAAGAATATTACCAAGAGATCTTGGAACGAAATGTTCTTCAATCTCAACGGAAATTAGGTCTTCGGAGGACATTCATCTTCCAACAAGATGGGGACCCAAACACACATCGAAGCATGTTCAAGAATGGCTCCGAGGGAGAGTGGACCAATTATTAGGCTGCAAATTGTTTTAAAATATGAAGTTATATAATACAACTTTTCTGTTAGGGCAATACTTTGAAAACATTTTGATTTTGACCAGTTTGGGGATTCGTCATCCAGTCCTACGTTAGTTAGAGACAAAATTAAAATTCTTTTGTAATTTTGTAATTGAGTTAATTTTTGAAGTCATGATCACACCGGCATAAAAAATATATATGTATTGAAATACCATTTGTCACGAAAATTCAAGTTAAATTTAAAGAATTAAATGCAAGGAGCCCAAAGACCTACTTCTTATTTAATAATATTACATTTCACATAATTCGTGATTCAGCGTTGAACCAACCCCAAATCATTTTCCATCCAAAAATCAACGTTGAGTTGAGAAATTATTGACCCTGCCAACCTGAGGAGAACGACTGAAAGTCACACATGGGGACTCCATCCCGTGATTTATGATGATTGATGAGTTTCTTTCTACCGACGTAGGTTGCTTAAGCTTTGAACAAAAAAGCCCGAATATCATCGAGAATAGAAGAATGACCTGAAACCCTAAAATCTGACCAATATGACAAAATATACTTTCACCTTTAGCTCGCTTAGAAGCGAGCTACAAGTGGCTGTGAATATTCTCAGACACATTGGGGGTTATATCTCCTTATCTAGATAAATAGAAAAGTCATATTTCATTCATATCCGACATATGTATGTATGTATATAATAGATATGTGTCAAAGTTATTTGTGAAAAAGGTACAGACCACAACATTCGAACCACGGCAACATAGATGGGGGTGGACAGCGCTACAAGAATTAGTGTTTCCATTTTTGGAAACATGGTGCCATCATTCAGCGAATTGATGTTGGTGGAATTTACATACAAATTGGTTACATTGATGTACAATGTAGTGGCTTTTATCCCCATGTTTTTCGTCCCTCCATTTACAAATATTGTAAAATAAACAAATATTGTATTTATGGATGTATAGGAAGTTAGCCCAGCCCAGAAGTGACATTTAGCCGACCACCGTCAGCCGTCAGCCGCCGGCCGCGCTATTTAGTTGATCCCACACCCCCATGGGGCGAAGTGAGATAATTGGGGTAAAATGAGATTCTTGGCCAAATCATCGCCAAAGTGTTTCGCATCATGTGTAAACGTCGGGTGGGCGTGCCCACAAGACCACACCCCCTCGTTGGGGTAAATTGAGATTTTGGGACAAAACTCCCTCCACTTGTTACCCATCATGTTTAAACGCTGTGTGGGTGTGTACATACGTCACCACACCCACCCAGTGGGGCAACATGAGATTTTGGGGTAAATCCTCGCCAAAGTGTTCTGCATCATGTTTATACGTCCTATGGGCGTGTCTACATACCCCCACGTCCCCTGGTGGGGAAACATGAGATGTAGGGTCAAAACCCCTCCAATTGTTCCCCATCACGGTTAGAAGCCTCCTTGGGTATCCCGCGGAACAAGTATCTGGTGATGTACGGATGTGTTCAAAGCCCGGCGAAGTCGAGAGACATTCCATATAGGTAACAACACCCGCCATTGCGCCGCTTGTCACGCTTTGTTTACATGAATGCAGGACACATTATCTCCTCCCCCGAGGTCAGTTGGAGAGATTTGGGGGAATTCATGACCACTATAGAAAAGTTAATATCAGGAGGATCAATTACGTGGAACTCGTGAAATTCATAACTCCTTCAGCCTTACCCAAATTTCTGGGAATTTAGCTTAAAGAGCCGCCGGCGAAATTTCGACAGATTTGTGACGAGTATAGATGAGCTTGTTATGTGAGTTAATTTCATGAGTATTCATCGCGTGGAACTCTGGAAATGTTCCAGCGGAACTCACTACTCAGAATCCAAGGATTTTCAAAGTTCCCTGGGAATTTTATTTGAAGAGGCGCCGGCGGGATTTCGACAGATTTGTGACGAGTATACATGAAGCCAGAAGACATGGATAGAATTGAAGTTGACAAGACATACTCGACCTCTACTGGAAAGCAAGTGTCAAAATGGATGACCACTTTGAGAGAAATTGTAACCCAGAAGAAGTTGCCCGTGGATTTCTCCACGACATCATCACTCACCAACGCAGATTACGAAATGCTTTTAGGAGTGTCTACGACGAACTTTGAAGTGCTGCTCAAACATTGTGACGGTCCCTTAAGGAACAGTCCCAACGGTTCAATTCGCAGCGTACTGGTCATGTTTTTAATGAAGTTGCGGCTTAATGTTTCTCAAAGAGTGCTCGCCTTTTTATTAAGGGGTGAAAGCCCTTTATAAGATCGTTATGTCCGTCTGTCCGTCCGTCCGTCCGTCCGTCCGTCCGTCCGTCCGTCCGTAGCTCCGATAACTTTTGAACGAAAAGACATAGACACTTGAAATTTTGAACGTAAACTCCTAACGTCAATGGACAGGACGAGTTCGAAGATGGACACTGTGACATCGTCACCTGTGACGATGACGTCGTCACAGTGACGAAAAGTGACGAAAAAGTGTCACGTGTCAGTTTTGACATGTGACACATCATTTTTAAATAATTTTCAATGAGGAATTCGAAAATTCATGTCATTTTGCGGTTGGACGTCACCTGTGACGATGACATCGTCACAGTGAGGAAAAGTGACGAAAAAGTGTCACGTGTCAATTTTGGCATGTGACACATCATTTTTAACTATTTTTCAACGAGAAATTTGAAAATTCATGTCATTTTGTGTTTGGACGTCACCTGTGACGAAGACGTCGTCACAGTGACGAAAAGTGACGAAAAAGTGTCACGTGTCAATTTTGGCATGTGACACATCATTTTTAACTATTTTTCAACGAGGAATTTGAAAATTCATGTCATTTTGTGCTTAGACGTCACCTGTGACGATGACGTCGTCACAGTGACGAAAAGTGACGAAAAAGTGTCACGTGTCAATTTTGGCATGCGACACATCATTTTTAACTATTTTTCAATGTCAAATTCAATGGTGACCTCCATTTTGACCTCAGAGGTCATGTAAAGGTCATAGGACATATCTATTTCAATTTCAACTGAAATTTAACCCCGAATTCAATGGTGACCTCCATTTTGACCTCAGAGGTCATATAAAGGTCACATAAGGGTTATCAACTGTTAAATTTGACA